ATCTTCGATCAAATATTCATTCCCTGAGACTCAAGAACCAGAGGATTTTCGTTTAAACAACGAGAACGAAGAATTTTTGAGATCATATGGAAATAAGGGACAAGGTTGTAGGAACCCAATATGCGTCTTGCAGCTAAATCGGCTTCTCAATGGGAAGAACACTACTGTTTGAAATTATGTAATTAATTCACTCAGGATTTTGAATGAAGGTTGAATTTCTATAAAATGAGTGCTCCTGAATCAATAGACCTTTACGGTAAGCAGAAATGTCAGTGACAACGTATAGTACAATTTATATTTAAACACACTTCTTAGCGACAAGTGTTTATAATACAGTGCCATGTACAATTAAAAGCAAGCAAGCAATATTTTCTTACCATTACCGGAAGTACTTGTTGAATAAACTATACATCTAAGACACTCTGTGTGCTCCAAAACAAAATACCAACGTCAAACCGCCTTACATTTAGTACACAAGTTGTTCTGCTACATGTTCGTCTTGTTTATACAACTCTTGCAAACTGCATCTCGTACATACGTATTTTAATGAGGGTATAAGCTGTATCAATCAAGTCGAATGTGAAATTCCTACCCGTCTCTTTGAACATGCGGCATCTAATGCTATCTTGACGGAGAGCTCTTTTTGCCAGGAAACGTCGCTTATGTAAATTGTTGCTCACTCAGGGACGAAGTATTCCCATGGGAAAATATAGAAGCTTGTTTTCTTTTGCTTCTAAAAAATCGCACCGAAATTAGATGTTGAATTAGAATGCTAGCTCGACTCATTGTCAAATAATACCAAGCCTCACTTGTGGATGCACAATATCATCCGAATATTTTCAACCTAATATTTATTTAACAACTAATGAGGTCTATACTTACAACATTTTTTCTTCATTTTTTCTTTTACTTGACTTATTATTTTTCAGTTATAAGTACTATATCATAACTATCTAAAACTGTAATGACTCATTGATGTTCACGTGAACACCACTCAACCACCGGTACACGCGTTGTCAGTGGCGGGGTATACATTTTTAATGAGGGTGAACTTGATTTTTTTATATATGTTTAATAAAAAGAAAAATGGTTTAAAAGATGTTACAGATCAGACATTTGGAGATTACCTTTGCCAGTTGCCCAGATGAGCTCAATGCTAGGGCGGTCAACGCAGCATAGTGACACCACAATGATGGGCCATCTCATCAACCACGTAACTAATTTTCGCAGGTTGGTGATGTTTAATTGTTTCGTACAGTTCCGCTTTAACACATGAATAGTCTCAACGAAACAAGTTCTAAGCACCGCTAGTCTACGCCAATGTATCGGACCTTGTAGTGTGAAAGCGTTGAGGCGTCATTTTATCTCATGACCGGAATCAGTTTTCATTCTTGCTTTCAGTTTCATTATGGTAATATTCATGCGCGTTCCTTGCTCTCAGCATGTTTGTTGATTTTGACCGGTTTTAATGTTTCATTACAAGTAGACGAGCTCATTAGTGGAAAAACTACAATACGTTCGGATTTTTAAGGTCACAAAATCATCCTGGATTGCAAAAAGTTGTAAAATGTTAATGCAAATGAGATATTTTCAAAAAATGCAAACTTCTTACCTACTGCTATTAATCCATTGTTCAACAGCTAAATCGTAGTGCAAAATCTATATTGAGTTAGCAAATATAGCCGACTATAATTTTCTCAGGATAGTAAGCATAACTTGGGGAATTTCCACGATATTTCGTGTCTCATGGCGATCGGACAAACCTACTTGAAGAAAAAAAAATTGAAAACCAGTCGAGCGGACCTAATAAAGCAACTAGAGGTCGATTGAAAATGACTATTTTCTGATGATAAGCGTTATTGTGGCTTGTTTATACGAGATCACCATACACTTACGCGCATTTTCTAGTTCATTTGAAGACCCTTATTTTCGTAGTAATAACACTTATGTATGTATGATCCAGCATTTAGGCAGCGTATGCAGTTAAAGTAGCAGGATCGTGATATTTAAATATTTTATTTATTCGAGCAGATCGCTGCATGGAAGCTTTCTGCTTAAAACATGTCCAAGAATTCATAAAACGATTATTGTAACAAATGGATGAGATCTTGTGAGCATAAAACAAAAGTTAAAATTGTAATAAAGCAATCAGTCAAAACGGTAGGCCCAATTTTTTTTATTAACATTCTTATATCTCAAAGATAGTCAAGATTGTGAGACATATTGTTAACCAAATAGAATGTGTAAATCGGACACTTAGAGCTTAAAGTACCACCCCGTTCTAGACTGACGCCTCCGGACAACTATTCCGTCACGCGTATGAGTCATTACAGTTTTAGGTAGTCATAGTATAGTAACTAGTCTCTTATTTACATATATCTTATTATTATATATTATTATATAAACCCAACAGCTTATCTTTCGATATAAAACATATATTACGTAAATAAAGGAGATGTACACCATAGTTATGTATGACTGTCCAATTGCTCAAACAAACTAAGCATACCTATTCTTCCTGGCTTGGATACTCGTAATAGGCAGACTGACTTTTTCAAATTTTGATGCTAAGAAATATATTATTACAATTACATAATGCATCATTGATCATCGGAAATATTTAGTTTTTCACTTTGTCTTATATTTCTTATTTTACATTTCCTAAGCATGAAAGCAGTATACGTATCAAAGTGAAAAAAGCAGTATTTTTCAAACTACACTGCTTTTGTTCTCTGTATGATACAAGTGCTGTCTTCTTACCAGTTATAACCTATTATAATGTTACTTATTTAGTTTTTTCATGTAATAGTTCCATAATTCTATTATCTGTAATATCGTTATAGAAAATCGCCTTTGATCCGAAAATAATAATTTTGAATAAGATGCTTCGTTTAAATTGATATGTATATGCATGAGAAAATATGCTGTTTTCTGATTCATACCCTTGAATATTCGCATATCATTAAGGAACACCCTGTATACAATATATTCCCTTGTTAATTAAAAATGAACAACACGGATTTTGCCCAGCAGTTCGCAACCTGTGTAATTGCCTCAGGGCTTCATTAACCGAGTCCCATTAGATGGGTAGCCAGTGCGTGTCTCGAAATTAAATAGGCCCAAAGCCATGTAAATCTTCGCGCCAAAGAAAACAAGGCTTGATGGATACAACTGAATGGGGTGAGGAACAGGCCCAGCTAATTTGATGAGGAAAAATTATGGATTAAGCCGGTCAAAATACGAGCAACGTTGCCTTGAGGGAAGTGGATATTTTCTCATTTCCTACTTTCATTAGACGTCTATGGTAACAAACGATGGAACAGCACGATGCAATTACATTGGTCAACCATGATTTCCTACTGTTAATTCAGTTATGTACAGGGTGCTCCATCTTTTATGTCGGTATCTAAACATGAAATAACTTTGAAAACGAAAAACTGATTTCCATATATCGGGTACTTTAATTAAATATGGTCCTTTACAACTTATTGGGACTCTCGAAGTCCTCTGAAAGCCATTTCTTCTGTTATATCGTCCTTCCAGCTTCGCCGCGTTTTCTTATTCCCGGTGGGGTCCACTCCCATACACTTTTAGGCCATCTGTTGTGGTAAATTCTTTCTAGATGACCGTACCAAGCCAGCCGCTTTGACTCTATCGTATCGAGTATAGTTCCATCTACGTCCATTTCTTATTTTATTCGTTCATTACGTATATGGTCTAGCTTTAAGTGTCGGCTGCTTCTTCTCCAGAAGTCCATTTCAAGGGACAGAAGTATGTTCTTTTCTTTTTTATTTAGGTCCCAAGTTTCTGCTCCGTAAGTGCTGATACTTTCCACAATTGAGCGATACGTAGCTTTTTATTTCTTTTTGTTATTTTGTCGCTTCATAAGAGCGAGTTCAATTGACGTATCGTTCTTCTTCCCTGGGCTATTTTGTCTGTTACATCAGCGTTGCTTTTCCCATTTGATGCTAAAGTTACCCCTAAGTATTCAAATGTGTTGAACTTTTGACAAAGGGATTCCCAATATCTAGGTCACCAGCTTCATCAGTTTCTGCCATATATTCAGTCTTCTGCATATGTATCGTCAGACCCCACTTATTGTATTCCTCCTACAGTTTTCGTAACATGTAACTAGAATTCTCCTGGTCTCCTGCTATCAGTAGCTGGTAAAATATCTTATACTTCACAAGTTTCGACTACCTGATAAGACTGATCAGAAATGTGTTTTCAAAGACAAATTTCCATCTATTCAGGAAGCCCCACCTCCTTGGATTACAGAGCAAATGTAGGATCCGTAATAACGGGTGTGTCTCGTCGTTGCTTCGCATCATCTCTAATTTGTAGAATGTGAGGCACTTAGCGCACGCCATGCAGATGTAACCCATACTCACATCCTTTGATGAAAGAGACACTACTCTGCAGCAGCATGTGTCTTGGGAAGGAAACTTGATAGTAAGTGGTTTAACCAGTTATGTACGTGCTGAAGCGTCCCCCCGGTTGAGACAAAATATTGAGGGGATGTTTTGATCAAGCTAAACAAGGCGTAATTGAAATTCTATACTTATCAATTTGGGAATCGAGAGAAGTGGTGCTCCAGTATGTCGACGATTCGTGTGCCAATATGCAGCTCGTCAAGAGTATCGAGGGGTTTTATTCATCCCTAAGCTACTGTTAAGACTGACATTACAATATTAGTGTTCTAATCGGCAGGTCTCATGATTTGTTATTTGATTGAAGCACTATTTTACTTCACCAAGGCACAGATACTCTGATTTTCACTGCAGGTGTTTTGCTTAAAATGAACAAAACGTAATTGAAATTCTATACTCGTTAGTTGGAAGAGCTGGAGATGTGGTGCTCCAGAACTGCTGCGATTCTTGTTTTTACATTAAGGAGCGGAGCTAGTCTCGAGACGTTACAAAAAATTGATTTATTCGAGGGATGTCTTTTAAGTTTTGCATATGGAAATAAAACAACATGGTAGGTAGTTTTAAATGACTTTATTGTTTTTCGAAGTATTGTCCACGAAGATTAATACACATCTGCATGCGCTCGAACCAATTTTCGAAGCACTTATTCCACTCGTTTGCTGGCAGATCCAAAACGGCATATTTGAATGCGTTAACTGCTTCTTCTGGTGACTGGAACCTTTGACCACGCAGTCTGTTTTTAATTTTCGGGAAAGTAAAGAAATCGTTAGGACTTAGACCGGGACTATATGGAGGATGGTCCAATAATTCCACGCTTTCTTCCGTTAAATACTGGCTTGTTGTGTGCGAGCTTGCACTGTCTTGGTGGACGATGATTCTTCTTTCGGGGTTGATTTTCGAAGCTCGGTGATCACTTTTGGCAAACAAATGATGGTATACCAGTCCGCAGTAACAGTTCTTTGCTCATTAAGAGGAATTGTTGCAATATGACCCGCTTTTGACACAAATGTCGCGTCCATCTTTTTCGAAACACTTCACCTTGGAACACCCAAACAGCCGACTGTCGTTTATTTTCTGGTTCCTAACAGTAAATCCACGATTCATCACCACTAACAATGCTGTACACATTCTTTGAGTTTCCGGAATTGAAACGGTCAAGCGTTTTTTGACACCAATTAACCCTGGCTGCTTTCCGCTCTTCAGTCAACAGGTGGGGTATCCAACGAGAAACTAATTTTCTTACTCCTAATTCTTCATATAAAATTTTTTGAATTGCATCGACGTTTTCCTGGGTGACTGCCGTTTTTGGTGCACCCACCCTGGGATCGCCGTTAAGACTCACCCGTCCACGTTTGAATTCTCCATACCAACGGAAAATTGTCGACTGATGTGGCGCTTCGTTGCCGAAAACAGACAGTAACTCATCAAGGCATTCTTGTTGCGATAATCGTCTCTGAAACTTGTAATAAATTATGGCGCGAAAATGTTTTCGGTTGAGTTCCATTTTTCTAATGACATGGTGACACCGAAAAATTCACTGTAGTGAGAGCACTGCACTTATTGTTGTGAAACTTTGAATTTAGGCTTACTAAAGAGTGAGGTTAAGATTCAGTACTGACGTTCGATCACCGCGGCCTACTATGTTTCTATATGCAAAACTTAAAAGACATCCCTCGTATCGGTATGTCTCAGGATTTGTTATTCGGTTTGGATTGCTTTTCTCTTCACTACGACACAGATACTCTGCTTTTTACTGCACGTTGAATTCTGATTGGAATGGACTAAAACACGACCCTTAAAAAGTAGATAATCATATAGGGTGTTCATTTGAAAACTTCCCGACACGGATTTGTCAACAACCACTGAATAAAAGAAAAAACGCCAAGACACGTCAAGAGATTTATCAAGCGGGTTAACTTTTTAACCAAAAGCGACTTCATCCTCTTTCACCCTCTGCCCCCAGGGTCATCCCCTTAAATATTTAGAATCACCAGCGGTTTTGACTAATAGCTTGTTTGAAAGGTCTTTTGAAGTTCCTTATTTTGACGTATGATTTTTAAAAATCGGGCGATTCGTTTTCAAGAAGATTAGAAAAACCTTTATTTATCTTAGTTTAGTAAGATAGAAAACGAAAACACACGAAAATATCGCTTTTCACTCCAATAAGTGTTCAAAATGTTGCCCGTTATTGTTCATACAATGCTATGAGCCATGTTCAAATTCCTGACGGATATTTTGAAAAACATGTGGGATATCGTGGCAGCTTTCGATGATGCGTGGACGAAGTTTATCTAAACTTTCAGGTAGGGAAGTAAACACAATAGATTTCAAATGGGAGATCTAGCAGGCCCCCTTCGCCCTGTCTATTTATCTGGAAACTCGTCGTCTACCCTTATCAAGTACAGGGTTTCAATCCCCCTCGATTTGGTTTTCAATGGTTTCAGTTATAAGCGGATTGACGGTATTTTCCAACATATCCAAATAAATGTCTCCAATCAAATTTCCATTAATAGACAAAGGTCCAATCACCTTGTTTCCTAAGATGCCTGCCCATACATTATTTTTTGGGGGTGCTGGGTATGCCTTCTTTACAAAAGTACAAAGATTTTCATTGCTCCAATACCTGCAGTTATGCTTATAACTGCGTATGGTATTTGTTCCCAAAACTCCACTCGCCTATCGAAATCATCTTCGGTTAACGCTTGCAATATTTTCATTTTTATTGGATGGCATTTATGGAGTTCAGTTACTGTGTATAATGAAATAGCAGTCGCAACAACAATTTTGCGTAATGAAGTATTAGGATTTATTTCAAAATGACCCAAAACTTTAACTTGAGCGGTTTCATCCAAAACTCTCCGATGATCATGTTTTTTATTTGCAACAGATCCAGTTTGAGTAAATTTAGTAAAGTCCAAAACATACCTCTCCACGGATATCTGACGTTAAAGGTGACGGCAGTTTGCTGAGCACATTGATTTTGGGCACCATATATTAGAATCATTTCCACTCTTTCGGTTAGTATGTAAGCCATTTTGGAACTAAATCTCAATAAATTAGTTTTTACTATCCCAAGATTGTCACAAAGGCAAAGGCAAATAAATTTTTTTTATTTCCTTAGCAACAAATAACTAAACAGGTATAACAATAAATACAGTTCGCTCACGGTATCTGTGTTGATGAAAAGGATGGAGAAAAACATTCGGGTTGTTTGTTTTCGTTTTAAATTAAAAACAAATTGTAGATTTGGCAAATCCGAACGAGAACATTTTGAAAACTCATTGAAATAAAAACTGACACTTTCATGTGTTTTTGTTTTCTATCTGAACAGATAAAGGTAAGTAAATACTTTTCAATTTTCTCAAAAACGAATCGACTGATTTTGTAAAATCAAACATCAAAATGAAGGACTTCTAAAGACCTTCTAAACAAGCTATAACTTGAAACCTCTTGTTATCAAAAATTTTCAAGGGACTGACCCTGGGGCGCGGAGGGTGGAGGGGGTGAAGTAGTTTTTGGTTAAAAAGTTGTCGCCCTTGACAAATCTTTCGACGTGTCTCGGCGATAAATCCGTGGTTAGAAGTTTTCAAATGAACACCCTGTTTATAAATAAATATATAGTACGTCAGAATATAAGAACCAACGAACCATACCTTTTGTGTTTTTAAGAAAACACTAATCTTGTGAAAAACTTGAACGAGTATTTCTATGGCCCCATATTTCAAATTTTGGCAACTTTGGGCATGAAAAATTGCCTGAGATTAAGGAGAGTTGAAGAAAACGATTTCCTGGGATAGTCTAAACGATTTTCTGTTGTTGAGTTGTGATATTGTTTTCCTACCATACCTGTAACACGTTGATATGTAAATGGGTATTTCTCAGCAAATTTCGAAATTCATGTCCTGAGCCATTGATGCTAAGTTGCATGGATTTATCATCAATTTAATATTTTTATTATATCAATAAGTATCTACACTAGTATTTTAAAAGCAAAAATTTAGATAATATATTGACACAAAAAAATACGATTAATTTATTAGTCTAAAAGTCATTCCCTCGTCTCGTCGCTGGGTCTGAAATTAATAATAAAAAAATATATACAATCAAGTCTGTTCATATTCTTATAAATTGAATGTTTCTAAAATGTTCGGTAATAAGTATGAATTGTATAGTCAAGCTTTGATTGTTGAAAAATAAATATGTATATAAAAAAATCTATTTAAACTATGTCCCTTGAAATGGAATCATTCCCTCACCCATTATAAATATTCGATTTGTGGTAACACCATTTGATTTTTTTGAATGCAGCTGTTATGTTTTTAAAACTTGGCAATACTGCTAATAATGTCAACATGGCGGAATTTCTTAAGAGTGAAAAGAGTTGCTGCAAAAAAGTATTGGATGTCAGTAATTAGAACTCTGTGTCATTACCTCACTGTTTATATTGAAAGGTAGGTCATTATACTGTTCGAATGTTTTAATTAATGTTTTTTATTTTTTTGGGGAGTAAAATGCATTCATAAAACGCTAAATCAATTTGAGGTGATTTGGTTACGGTGTCGTTTATGCAGATCCGTCATTCCCTCACAGTCATTCCCTCACTATATTAGAACGTGAAGCAATAAAAATTATATGAGGGAATGAATGTTGCATATATAAAATTGTGGTTTGGGTATTATTGTTTAACTCCACGGTGTATAGCATGTGTTTTCAATTTTAACAGGTATCTGTATATCAAGAATGGGGAAAATGACGAAGTTAAGTGAAGAAGAAAACAAAATAAAAAAGGAGTACGACAGAAAGAGGCGAGAACAAATGAAAACTAATGCTGAGTCTTAAGAAGCTTTGCGTGAAAAAGAAGGATTAAACGATTTAAAGAAGAAGTTAAGTCAATAAGTCCTAAGAGTGCAAGAGAAACTAGACAAAAACGGAAACAATGGAAAAAGAATAGTAAAGTTTATAGCGAAAAGCGAGTTACATTACAAATAAATTTAACAGAGAGTTGAAGACACATCTCCACCAAGTCCTGCACCATCTTTACAGCACCGAGTAGAGAATTTGCCTGCTCTCAATAGACGTAGAATGCGCAAGCGGCAAACTATTCTGCACGCGAAGATTAAAAGTTTGGAAAATAAATTAAGAAACGCAGTCAAGCTTAGCGAAAAATATAAGAAGATTTTTTGAGATTGAAAACTAAAAATACTGACCCAAACTCTCCAGCAACTAAAGGGACTTCGCTTTTAAAGGAAATACAAGTTCCTGACGTTGTAAGAAAAATACTCATTTTCGGAGAAGCACTGCCAACGGACTTCAAGAATATCTATGAAGATCTTGGAAGTAAGCATAGAGAAAAGAAAAAATAGTACATGTTAAACCTGCAATAAGTACAAAAGATACAAACTGCTATATAGATCAAAACATTTTTTCAAAAACAATACGTACAAAAAGAACTGTATTCGTATAGTTGGCTCCAAAATGCTGAAAGTTAGGGGTGATGTTGTTCATTTCTTACAGAATGATGAAAATACGAGGATGTGTCCTATAAAGTATAAAACAAATCTCAATACAGCCATTAATAAATTAACTTATGTTTTTTATTCAAATTCAGCATCAAATTGTTGTAAAAATCATTCCCCCATCCTATCAGTCATTCCCACATTTCATAGTTTTTTAAAAGTCATTTTTTTTAATATGGAGGACCTTCATTTTCAATGAACCTCACTAAAGCAAAACTTTATGTTTCTGCAAAAAAAGGATATATTTTCATCGTTTTTTTTAAGAAATGCAAAATGAAATTTCTAAATTTGTTGAGAAATACCCAAATATCTCCTTAGGCGGTGTTGCTGGCGTCTATGTTGGATAGCAGCAATCCGTAGAATATGCAGTTATAACTTTTCGCTTTTACTGTTATGGCATAGCGCATGGCGCATCGCTTTTATTTTAGTGCCGCCGGTGCAAGGAAATTGCTCCAGGTAGAAAGTATTATTGGGACGTAAAACCACGCGGATATTTCCAGGTTGTAATAAAACTGGGGCTGATATACAAACAGTAACAGGAAAATGCTGACGCTATGCATGATCAACATTTTCGCGTCTACGTAAATTCGCCAAAAATTTGGACAATGTAATTTTGCATTCTTTGAATGTTACAAGACATATGCATCACAAAAGATCGTGTCACTTATTTTCAACAGTCTGTCGCGATTTTCTGTCGGTACGTCCACCTACAAAGCCTTGATCGCTCTAAGGCTGGGAAGGTACTGCTCAAGTTTTGATTAAAGTTTGACACAAGGACTGCACTGTCAGTGGCGTAGTATGTTTAGGGTGGATTTCACGAGGATTGTCAAATCAACAGTCCGTTAATCTCCACCTACAGGGCAACAGTCCGTCAGATACAGCGAATGAGCTCCAAGTTCCAATCAACAAATTTTAGCAACCAATAGCTATGAAATGTTGAATGTTGAAATATTGTCAAAGTATGAGAGGACAGCTTGTCCTTGAAACA